CATATTAAACTGATCTAATCTAATAATGTAGATGACAACTAGTTTTGGAACTAGCTTGGACTGCATTGGTGTTTTTTAGTTGAACCAAATGTGTCATAGTAGATAATTTTATCTCCGTAGGTACAAAAGATAGTAGACTGATGTTTCAGATGTTGCTCCTTCGTCGAAGTCAAATGATCTACTATGACACTTTTAATATGATAATGCATCTCTGTGATATAAACCTGCACTCCGACCCATTGAAGATGCAAAAAACCTGAAAATGCGATTAAATTGTTACTTTGTATTTTAATAATACGAGCTTGTTTCTCTTATGTTCTACRGTGTGTTTATTTTCCAGTAGAAACACCTACAAGCAGCCATTATTTTGTATAATTTATACATGTGAATAAATTATTAGGTAAATTATATAAGAGGGACAACACAACTGATTAATGGTATGTCCTAGAATACAACTTTTATTAGGTATATTTATTAATAGATTATCATATTATTATTAGAGTATTATATATTAATATAGTAAAGTTATTTCTTTTATATTCAGTACTATTTATTGTCTCAGGGTCAAGGTCAGGATTTACTCAGCTTTTGTAGTCCCATCAGTTCATTTCTGTTGAAAACTGACTCAATTGCCCAAGATAGTTGCTGTTGAGTGATGATTGTGTGTTTTGAACTCATGTGGGAGGTGTCCCCATAGGTTGGTGATAAAAGCAAAATGTTTGTTAAGAATATTGTTAGTCTAAAACACTTTTTCATTTCACTATCAAAAAAATATCAAAAAATTAGTTGCAACAGTTATTCATTTATACAATGTACTTGATCCTTGTACATTTTCATGGATAATTATTATTTTACAAATGTAAAATATTAGTCACTCATGGCAATTGACAAAATTCTTTGAATTTCCTGCTGACTTACAGTATGGTGACTTTTAAAAATGGCTTTGTGGAAAATTAACGGTTTGAGATCCCTTTAAAAAGTCAGAGATGAATTTATTTATTTATTGTAAATTATTCTTTCAGTCACTCCATTTAAAAAATACTAATGAATGAAAAAGTAATATATTAAAAAGAAGGCGTCACTGCAGACAAAACAAGATATAATTAAATACATTTTATCATAGATTGGTAGATAATAAAATCACAAAAATCAGTTATAGCTTAAAGGAGCGCTTTAGGCATTTTGTCGAGAAACGCCGGTCACGAAGAACTTAAGCTGAGTGACATAAATGTTTAGGAATGGTTGAAAAACAGGAAAATAATGAAAAAGGGCATTTGTTTTTATCTCTACACCTTCATCATTTCCTCGTTAGTGTGTTTAGCCACCCATGGTTTAATCATTCAAATAGACTCAAAACAATTAATGTAAGGGATGACTTCAAAAGCTCCGAGCAGGCACCGGATATGAATCTCTCGGATTCAGACAATCGAGGATTGCTTTCTTGAACATGTCAAGTCACCTCCGAGAAAGAACAGCCGTAATGCATTCTGTTCAACTGGCAAGCTCTTGATTTATCGATGAACATTTTTGCTAATCGTAATTATTCAGATGAAGATTCAAGGGTCAGCCTATAGAAGGCATCACAATCGTCTGGAAAAGTAACAGCCAAGACTGGTACTTATACACGCGATCGCTTTTACTTACAATACAAAACTCCAGTAGCGGTCAAATAAGGGGATAATGATGAATATTTGTATCAAGAAATCGCATTCGTCCATGTCGCCTTAAATATWATGAGAAGTTTTGAATTCAATGCAAGGATATTCGCCGTATAAACTTCGATTGATTACTTGAAGTGTTTTGATTGTTTGAAAATGATTGACCCCGTGAATATATCGTATCGATATCAATGACAAAAATCTTAGTACAAATGCCGGTAGTCTAGTAGCAAGGATAAACAGTGAATAGGGATTCAAGCTAAATAGATTTCCAGAAGATCAGAGATTTACATAAGTATTTCGCCGCATCTAGTTTCTCAGATCGAAGGAGCCATTTAGAGGAGTTAGACTAAGGTGTGAAATACAACAAGTATAGTACAGTAGCTTACCTATCTTGCCGCCAGCGATGAAAAACGCGCAGAGAATGACAACGATACCGAGACCAAGAGCTATCAACTGCTTAACGCTCAGACTTTCAAGGATCACAGCCATAATTCAGATGTATTCTCTAAGACCTCCAAGGGACGCTTGATGAGAATAACTTTCCAGACGTCGCTTTACATTCAGCCAAATCAAATTGAAATAAAGATCACTACACCGCACGTTATGGTATATAGATTACGACCCTAGCGTAATAACTTTCAATCAGCAATCCAACCAATCAAAATGCTTCATAACACAATACGCAAATGTATGATAACAAAAGCCTTGTGTGACCTTTTGGCGGGGGTAGAATGATAATTGGAAACTATGCAAAGGAAATGATTCAACATGATTGCAATGTAATGGGAGTCTAGTGAGACGTGATCACAATAAAAGGTAATTGTTTTAGATAGTGCTCAGTAACGTATCTATTCTGTAAACAGTTCTCTTCGCATGATATATCAATTGTGACTAGATAATAAAAGTCAATGTGTCCGGGTCTTTTTGTTGTTTCTTTTCCCTTTTTCCCCCGCCTTCTTTTTTATTCGGTGTACTCGTTTATTTATAATAGCTTATAAAATCTCTCGTCATTTTGGATCACGACAATTCCGTCACCTGATTGGCTAAATGCTGATCCAGCATGCGTTGTGCTCCCATCTTACCTTTCTTCAGTTTTTCTTCTCTTAATTATTTTCAATTTACAGTTTTCTCATCTTTTTCATCCCCTTTGCTTTTCTCTTGTCTATTGTATTGGCCTTTTATTTATTTTTTGTTACTTTTGTTTCGTTGTGGGCATGCAACCAACCGTAAGTTACTTGTTGTTTTCAATTATCTTCCCTTTCTCTCCTCTCCTCTCTAATATTCTAGAAGTATTGCATTGTCTTTCAGAACTTTTTATAATGTACTCCTCGGCCCTTTTTGGATTGGCCCATAAACTGGTGTAAACAGCCAGTATTTTTAAAATTACATTTGACATTTCTCAAATATTTCTGCAGTAAAATTTGTTTGCAGATTGAATTCAAGTGTATGATTGTTTCTCGGGATATACAACCCTAATTACTTACCGTGATCCTGATCGTGCGAGGTAAACATCCGTTGCCACGGAACCAGCAAGGGTGTTTTCTTCCGTATGCATCCGTTTTGAACTGTTGGACACGTTTACGGGTTGGGAGCAAAGAAAATTTCCTTTGAAATACCGTGTCATTTCGAGCGGCCTTGATTGGCAAAAAGAAAGAAAGAAAGCCAAAAAAAAAAGTCTCTGGCTTAATCAAACTTTTGACAGTGATCAAAAAAAATTTTGTCTTCTTTTTCACAATTCCATTAGTTCGAATTTCTATACCAACCCTGGATTCTGAGGCTTTTTTAGGCTCTTATTTTTTAATTCTTTTTTTAGTCCAATCTTTTTTTCAACTTCAAAGTTATAGCGTTAAAAGCGGAGTGCAACACTGAAGTCAGGGAATAATAATAAACGTCATTCTGATGACTGCAGATCAAATAAGGCCAAATGCAGACCAGAAAATAATGCAAATTAACATGCTGAAGCGAACGAAATGTGGGGCAAGAGGCAAATGGGAGCCAAATGSGGTGTACTAGGAGAGACCAACTTCTTGTAGACAGATGCTTGATGAAGTAAAAGATCACAAACAAAAATTGGCAGTGGTCAATGAGACTACAAGAAAGCGTATGACAATGTACCGCATTCTTGGATGGACATGGTGTAAAGATGGATGGGGCTCAGCTCGAAAAAATGGGATGGAATTGGTCGGATTAAACCTAGAGTTCGAAGAGAATGGCATCTACTTGACAGGAGAAGTGTTGCAAGGATCGTGGCAGGATACCTGGCAGAAGTTAAAAAAATAATTCAAGAGCTAAAGAACAAAAGAGAGTAGAGACATACAAGGAAATGCCGTTTCAAAGCATGGKGTATGGGGTAATCAGGATGAAGCTGCGTTCAAGTGGTTAAACAGAAGCATGATGCCGGAAAAAGTTTCAGCAATGATAGAAATACAAGAACAGATGATAGAAACAAGGGCAAGGATCAAGTTGAATCAGTAAAGTGCCGCTTATGTGGATGCCAGAATGAAACAGTGCAGCATTGGCTGGCTGGCTGCAAGATCTTAGCAAGCGGAGAATATCTTCAGCGTCATGACAATGCATGCGCACTTTTAAAAGGTTTTTGCTACAGAGTGGGTTAAAGCAGGAGGGCTTAATAAGTGAGAAGTCTGTTTGGTACGAAGAGGTATGGGAGAGAGGAACAGTCAATGAAACCCAACAAAGACGACTTAAGAGGGGACTATGATTGGCAGACAAGAACAGCAATAACACACCGACGCCCAGACTTCGTACTGGAGCCGGAGTACGTCGACGAGAAGAAGATTATCCTAGACATGGGATGTCCTTGGGAAGAAAATGTAAGAGCAACGGAGTTGGAAATTTAAAAAGGTTCAAATACCAACAGCTATGCTACGACATCGCCAACTATTCCGGTCATGCGCCCGCGTACAAATGCAGCGGTGTCGCTTGAAAATGTTAAGCGAGTTAAGTCAGATTTTAGAATGAAATGTGTAGAGAGTCAAGATAGTTTTCGATTTATAAATTTCTGTGTAAACAGTTTTCCGCTTGCCGGGGTAGAAGAACAATATATATCATAAAAGCATTTGATTTTTACCAAACATACTTAAATTTGTTTGGAAAAAACTTTTCGTCTCTATAGTTAGATTTTAACAGCCTTCTTGCCATAAGTGCTTTGTTAAATTGTTGAAGAAAAACACAAAAGGTCAAATATTATAAACAGGATTTCTCAAAATCAGAACTAGTTACCTCATTTGCCGGGGTCGTTCCTTAAAATACACACATTTTAAATTACTGATGTCGAATCTGTGGGCGATTGAACGAATTTATACTTTTCGTTTTTTACTTTCAAGAGCTCCGATTTGAGACGAATATTTGTGAGATCCTTCTTCAAGAATAGGCACTTTGTGAAGCAAAAACCTTGAAAATTATTCGCAAAATACAGCATGTTTGGTAACAAAATAAAGCTTGAATCCTCAGCTCTCGTTTGCCATCGTTTGTAATAGGATACCTATTAAAGCACAGCAATACCGTAGCAAAAGGTTTTGTTTCTCTAAGTCCGGGCCTGAGAGAGCTTGGGCTTCCTGTGGTTTTTATTTTATACATATCCGCTGACTTAGCGAGCGGCGCATGGCCGGAATAGTTGGCGATGGCTCCGAGTTCTGTAGCTAGGATGGACGATACACTTGATTCCGCAGATTATCATTGGATGGCTTGGCAATGTTAACAATGTGAGATCTAACATCTCCAGGATGCTTGAGAAAAAGCGAGTAAATTGGACTTTGATAGAGGTGCAAAGAATAGTTGTTTGTAGCTCTGAGACAATTGTAAGGGAAAATATTTTAAATGGACTTTACTAGTCAGTATATGTTAGGGTTTGAGGAGAGTATTACATGAGCCATGAACTAGCAAGCGGACCATAAACTATCAGACTAATATTTTCTCACGTTTTACCTTAGTTGATTCTACTGTATGGTCTGGCCGTGTTTCATGGATTATACAAAGCTTTCCCTAGACGGTAATGATAATTGATGATGATTTRTGATAATGATTTATGATTTATATATCGCCCTTTCTATATTGATATAATCAAAGGCGCTTTACATTGACTAAATGACAGATTGAATGGCAGATTGCTTTTATGCAATTTACAAGCATGAGAGATGGTTAGTATGAGGTGTAGGCACTGAGGGTGGTCACTGCCAGGGTTTTTTTACGTCCTCAGTGGCTCTTTTACGTCCCTTCGATGTTGGTTAGTAATGTTGAGTGTGGAGAGACAGGACCGCCGTTTAAAGTGGTCATCCGAGCCACTTGATAGTCTAACCATTTGCAGACGTAATTACATAGGCAGCACTTTCTTCTTAGTTATTTTAAGACCCTGAGTGGAACCAATCACAGAACAGAATTCTTATRTTCAGCCAATCAGAGAAGAGAATGATTAGCATTTATGAATATTTAATGATTTGCTGATAAATCGTTTATTTTATACCAGGAAAAACCAGATTGATTCACTTCTTCTTGTACATTAAATTGATTATTCTGCACTCTTTATTGTGTCTTTTTTTGTGTATGATTACAAAAAGGAAATGATTAAGTATGGTAATTGAACTTCGTGTCGTGCAATATTAGACCAAAATCATACTTGTGATTAACGAATTGCACTCCCGCTACTCGCTCGTGCAATTTTGTAATACTCGTATGATTTTGGTCCAAATTGCACTCCACTCAGTTTAATTACCCTCATTAATAATAGTAATCATAATAATAACATTAATCAATTACCCTCATTAATCGTAATAATCATAATAACAGCGTAGCGGAAAAGTATTATTATTATCAATTATCATTATTGTTTATTATTATTATGACTATTGCTAACCCGCAATATTCTGTTGAACTAGTACAAATCAAAAGTTTAAATAAACAAATACTAATAATTATTATATTAAAAACAATAATAATTTAACGTCTCGGTAAACATTCCCAGCAATTCACTTCGCCTTCGTCGAATAATTGTTTTAGTTTTTTTTAAACACAAGT